CTTTTGTAATGTCAACGAATACTCATTGTCACTTCCGTAATGCTCATTGCAGTAAAGACTTTGTAATCACAGATACAACTATAGTACACTGCTGAACAATACTGGTGTCAGACCTTCAAATAATTTTGCTCTAATAGTACTTGCTCGATTATACTCGCTCGGAAAGTAATCAGTGTAGTGATTCAAATAGTATAGTGAATAGAATAGAGAAATAGTATAGACTAGAAATAGTGATCCAAATAGTAATAAAGAATAGACTAGAAATGTGATCAATTAGATACACACTACTTCTCACATATGCATTTCCTCTGTGGTCACATGGTCTACTTAATTCAATAATGGGAACGCCTGTGTTTGCTCACTGGTGATCTAAAAAAATCTACACTTAACATTTATTTTTTTTAAATTATTTTGTAATCTTTCAGTCTGATTTTGAAATTCATTCTGTTACTCTTCATCAAAAGACTTTCTTTTATTAAATAGACATGTTTGAAGATTAAAAAAAATGTAGAGTTTAATAATGCCATTTTCAATTGAGAGACTTTTTTTAAAATTATCTTATTTTTTCCTTTAAGCAACTGTTAGATTATTTCTAGTATGGATGTACAAAAAGGACATAATTCTGATATCTCAATTTGAGTGACTACTATTCAATATCGGAAAAGTATTATGATATTAATCGAATTTCATATCTCCCATTCAGTCAGTTTTTGTGTCTTGGAAGAACTGTTTTCCAATCCACCGGCATGGATGGAGTTTTTTTTGGGTGGTGAGGGAGGCACGTGTCACTGTGTTCCTGCATTTATTTACAGATTCTTGTATAGAAGAATAACCAATACTTATTTCAATAATTAAATGTAAGTTGTTTTTATTATTTTAAGAACAAATTTTTTGCAACATAATTTGTTCTCCAAGCCACCAAGGAAATTTTCAGAATTACAGCAAAATCATTTCATTTGTGTAAAAGAATTCTTTATGCTGTAATTTAGCAACCTTCACAGATTTGTGATCCTTAAGGCTTAAAATTCATTTTTTAAAATGAAAAATCTTTCTGGAAGATTTTATTTTAGTTCTAATTTCAAGCGAACAAATCAAATGTAATATTTACAAAAATCAAAATACTTTGCTGCATTTCAAAACTAATTTGACTGGAAATAGGTTTGTTTTGAAATTGCTGAAATTGTTTAGCACCAACTCAACTGATCCCATCTAGACAATATTTACCAGCCTCCCCACGAGGTAGGATGTGGCACAAGGCCAAATTTAATGTGGGGCAATCCGAAAATTACCCATAAGCCGGCATAAACAGGTTTGGGTTTGTCTACTCCCCCGGATGAGACTCTGCCCTCATCCGAGTTCCCCTCTGCCTTCAACAACAGCCAAGATCTGAGTAAGAGATCCTAGCTAGACTCCTGTAGTACATTGACTTAGCACTACTTATAGGTTGTTACTACCTATAGTGTATTTACTCATGGGGGTGACAGGTTATTCCATTACATCAATTTCCTATACTAATTTTTAACATTCAAAATTTTGGTCAAAAATTTTGTTTTTCTTGCATCAACAGGTGATCATAAATTACTATGGAAAACTTGAGCATCTTTTTACAGTGAAAAACAAACTGATTTGCAAATTCTTGCAAAAATCAAATAATTATCGGATTTAATTTAAACTTTCATGACACATACACAAATGAATGAAATTATTTTTTAAAATCTTAGTAAAAAAATTTTTTTTTTTTTTTACATATTACCCAACACCTACCACTCCCCCCACACATACACACTTATTTGATATTATTGAATTTTGAGAAATTTATTTTAGTAGAGCTTAATGTTTATATTAGTTATAAGGACAAGTCCTTGGAGAATTTAAATCATCAGATTCTTTTTGTCAAACAGGACCCCCAGTTACAGAAATTCTGTACTAAATTGTAAAATAAAAATTACAATAACACTAAAATCATTTAATAGGAAAAGCTTTTAATGGCTTTTATCAATAAGATATGTTAGGGAGAACTATTGTCTTAAGAAACAAAATTTTTGATAAATAATGAATTCTTACAAGAATTGTTTACATATTTTTAGAATTTTAATTATAATAATTTATAAATTTTTAAATCTTAAAATTTTGTATTAATTTGTACTTGTTAGGTGATATTATTATTAAGTAAAAACTATATTTACTAATCATAAATAGAATAGCTTACTACAATTCAATGATCCCACTCCCAGTTTTTTTGTATGCATAAACATGCCTATTATTTTTGTAAATACAGATGTCCATACACAACATTATTAGAAAATAAAAGCAGTAACTATAGTGAATTTAAAATTTATTGGTCATTTTCTTACACCAAGAGTCTTCATAAGACTAAAGCCAATAAAATATTAGATTACTTAGAATATTTTCCTAAATTTTTAAGATTACTGGACTATATTGGTATGTCCAATACTTCACTAAAAAAGAGCATACTCTGATGAAAAAAAGTGCCAAACTTGATTAAACAATTTTTTTATCATCTAAATGTTTATGTTATTATTAAGAGGAAAGACCAAAGTATGTTTTGAATATTTTTTAAATTTTGTAATCCTTTCTAGCATGTCCAAAATTTTAGCTAAAAATCTTGTTTTTTTTTTTTTGAGTTATCAAAAGTGATATAAAATCAATCATGTCAGCCATAATTGACAGTTTTGTAAACAAAAGTGAAATTCTCCATTTAAAAATCTTGTAAAATTCAATTATACTTTTTTCAAAAGTTATTTTAGGAAAATTAGAAAATTTAAAGTATACTTAATGTAATTTGAACCAAACATTACTTAATTTTTTAACAGAAAAAATTTAGTTGGAAATAAGAGAAGCATGTCTAACAGTGGTAATTGGTTTTGTTTGGAGGTGTGAATTGACATTTTACGTCAATGTATCAACAACTAATATTGGGGCAATTTATCAGACGGAAGGGCAGAAGTGAAAGTATTTTTAAATTTTAAGTGAACCATCTTATTTAGCTATAAAGTAATTCTTAAAAATTAAATACTTTTAAAAGTTTAATATTTTATTGATTTTTTTAGGTACATTTTTTTACAAAGATATGTCCAAAGTCTGCACTGTTTCTGTCCCTAAAATTGAATCTAAAAAAGAAAAAATTAATAAGTGCAGTATATGAAAAAGAAAAAAATTATATTTAAAAATGAAAAGAAAATATTTAGTGAAATAGGTAAAAATTTTGAAAATGTAAAGATGATCATCAGTCAGAGAATTTGATACGAAATCAGCGCAATTTATGAGGCCAGATCCTCAGTATCAAGAGAAACAACTCTAGCACACATGACAGTATTTCAGAATTATGTTTCCGTAGTTTTGTCGGAGACTATTTTAAAACATTTTTTGGCATATTATAAAATTACTGTAAAAATACACTGCTTCGCAGAATGTAATAGGCTTTCAAATTTATGAGCTGTAAAAAATTGATCTTTTAATAAGATAATTTCCTGAGAGTCACAGCCTCAAAGGTAATTTTAAAATATTTAACAACTTCATCACATTTTGTATTTAAAATTGACAAAAAAGAAAACAATTCTTGTAAAAATTCATTTTTCCTCAAAAAAATATTTTGGCTTCCGTTAAAAATGTCATTATTCAGAAAAGCCATTAAAAGCTTTTATGTCTTAGTTTTAATGGGTTTTGTATTTTACAATTCAGGGCTAAAGTTTGGTTAGAACCACTCCTCAATTTACAAAAAAAGTCGATGATTTATATTCTTCAAAGTCTTCTGCATTTAAAAAAATACAGAGAGTCACAGATTCAAGTTTTCATAAAATTAAGTGGGGGGGGGGGCTTGATATGTGACTGCAAATCTCATGCAAAGACCAGACAACTCAGGCATGAAAGAAGACACAACAAAAGAAGATAATGAATTCTTAAAAAATTAATAAAAATCAAGAAAAATCTGACAGAAAACCTTTCCAGTAATTATGGCTCTACAGGGAAACTTATACTTACAATCACAAAGAGACAGCTGAAATTTCTGGAATATATAATGAGGAAAGAATACCAAGAAAATCTAACACTCAGAGGTCAAGAGAAGCAATGAGCAACCTACTTGTGTTTATGTGAATTAATGCCAGAATAAGGACAAAGAAAGAAAATAAAGGGTCAAATTTTAAATTCAGTTTGAAATGCAGCAAAAAAAGCAAAGTATTTTGCTTATTGGAAATATTTTATATTGTTAACTTGGAATTAAAACTAAAATTTAAAAAAGCGTCAAGATTTTTCATTTTTAAAAATAAATGTATTTTTTAAAAAATGCATTTTTAAACCTTTCTTTGCGTGTCGCTTTTTTTTTTTTTTTTTTTTTTAGAAAATAGAAAAGCAAAACTTTGATTTAATTCCGATTAAAAAAATATTGTTATTAATAAAAAGTCTAAAAAAGAAATCGCTAAAGGCGGTAAAAATAATAAAATTTTATTATTTCGTCGATTTAAAAAGCAATGATCCTAAGAAAAATAAAAGTAGTCGAGAGGCTATGTCAAACTCGGAGAAACTGAGTTGAAATTGCCTTAACCAAGTTACACAGGTACATACATAGTAACTACAATTGAATTTTGAAAGCTTATTTTAATTAAATATATCGTCTTTTAGGATGAAGGTAGAAAATTAACATTAAAATATTGCACAAACCAATATACTTTTTAGGCAATAATTAATTTAGCGAAAACATTAAATCCACGTGTGTAAAATTGGAGATGAACTTGTGGTTTCAAACTATAAAAAGTTTGTGAGAGAAAATGTTACATTTACAATGAGGTCAAGTACTACTCGAAAACAGATAAATAAAGTAGTTTAAATAGTATTACAAACTATTGTTTACCCGTATTTTGTGATTTAAAAATATATGGATTTTTTTGTTTTGTTTTACGTGATACTTAAGAATAAAGTTACAAAAAAAATGAACATCTATATTTCTACAATAATAATTTTAAAGGAAATTAACCACGTACTTGAAGTCATGTTTCCTTACCGGTGTTATTTGTTATTAATTCCCCTATTCTTTTTCTTCCGTTTCTTAATAAAACAACAGGAAATCTAACCAATAAGTCTCTCTCCACTTTATTTCTTTCTCTCTTCTTTCGTTCTAATTCACTCCATTTCTGTCTTTCCTCTTTCTTCTAGATTAATAAACTGAGGAGAAGGAAAACTAACGATGTCTGGCAAATTAAAAAGAAAAAAAAGAATACCTTCATTTTGCAACAAATTCAAATCCACAAAAATAACTGAAGAAAAAATTTTAAAACTGAAGTTTAACAGTTTTTCTTTTTTTTTTCCAATTGAAGATTCAAAATAATAATAAAAATGCACGAAATGCTTTATGCACGAAAAATGTATTATTTTTTATTTATTCTTCTCATCCCTGTGCACAATAAAATTGGACAGTAATTCTCACACAGAAAGAGAGAGAGAGCGCGATTGATCAATCATCAAATGAAGATTTACATTCAAAATTTTCAGCATGCAACAGCATTCATTTTACACAGGGCCAAAAACTATCCCTCAAGCACTTTATCCTAAAATTAATAGAACCAAAAAATGTCACACTGAATTTCACAATTCAAACAAGTAGTATTATCGCTTGCTGTATTTATAAAGTGTCAGATTTAGTCAAAAATCTTTCAATCAATTTCACCATCTCTACTCCAATATCTTTTCCTTCATCTTATTTCTCATTCACTTATTCACTATAATCTCTCTTTCCCCTCATCTCTCTTATTTTCTCATGATATTTATTGTAAAATACACAATTATGGCACAAGGCCGAAAAAAGGGGAAAGGAGTTAGGCTGGTCATCACTATCTATCTTATACCTAGCTAATCCAACTCATGACCCATTCACTCATTACAATTTTCGCATTCACCATAAAAACTCGTCTGTCACTAATCAATCTTCCATACACCATAATACCACATCCTCTCAGGGGGACCTACAGAAAACGCACCACATGGTATTAAAATTTAAGGATAAAAATACATATGTACAATTCTATAGATGATTAAATATGAGAGGGGTGGGGAGATGAACCCAATAATCAAACTAAACATTAACACAAAATAAATTAAACATAACTGATGTTAGTAGGGCCCGTCCAACACTCAAAAAAGGGAGAGGCCGCTGTATTCTGCCCATTGGACAAAATAAGAGGCTCTCTCGCTAAGGGAGTGGGAAAGGCGAAAATATATGTACGGACATGGGAAATCACTCTTTCTCTCTCCCTCTTTCAAAGTTTATAGCTGTCAGCAAGAAACCAAATCATCCTTTCTTCCTTTTCTTCTTTCCCCACTTTTATCCTCCCACTCCTACTTCCTCATTTGCTCTCTTATATCTTTCCTTTTTTTTCTCTTTGTCTCTTTTCCTGTGAGATGACTTATTAAATGTCTGGTCCATACCCACCACCCTTACCCTTAAGTATCTTAATAAAAATAGATTTAAAATTATTCCTATCTCGCCCTTCCTTCTCTATTTTCGACCATATCTGTCATCCTCCTCTTTCCCCTCTCTCTATCACCTTACATCAACTTAAAACTACCCCTCAAAGGTGTATAAAAATAATATGTAAATTTTAAAACCATTTTTTTATGCTTGGAAATGTGATCTGAGGAACCAGTCAAAAAACCACTTTCCTGGGGAAATAAAATATAATCAATGAACTCTTAAGGTTGTCTGTTTTTTAATTTTAATTAAATTATATATATATATATATATATAAAGAGAGAGAGAGAGTGAGAGAGAGGAGTTGTAGATGGGTTCAGCTATCATCCAGTTCACTCTCCCCTATTCCTGTCTTTTGAACAGGAGTAGATGTTTATCCCTTGTTTTTTGTTTAGGATTGACTTTCTGTTCCCTTCTAAAGTTTTTTCATTCTCTTTCACTCTCAGTAGACCCTTGCATCTGTTCTACTTTGCTGCAATTAGATCTCTTTCTGATTCATACTACATGTCAACCAGATGTGAGTGCCAAGAAAGTAAAACACAAAATAAAGAAGTTGTTTTCTGTGCATGGGCTCCAAGCATCACATCCTGTACACAAAACAAATCACCCCAATAAAAATACAATAGCCAATCATGAGCACCAGATCTGCTTAAAAGAAAGCCCCTTATAATGACCAACAAAATTGCAGGTCGAAAGGCCACCTGGGGGTATGCAGGCATACTGTTGCTATCACCACTATGATTACTTCTCTTCTCACAACCATGACAAAATTCACTAATCTCACCCATGTAGAATACAGGCCAGCTTTGATGCTAACCAACATGATTTCTGGCACCATCCAATTCCAGGCTTCCCATGTTGTCACCACCATGAGCCCATTTCATTGATATCACATTCAACCAGAATCCAACAAAGACATCCTGCTTAGTCAATCTTCACCATACAGCTTCTAGCCTCCCTCATCATTACCACCATGATCCGTTGATCTCTGATTTGACCAGAATACAACAGAAACATTCCAGTCAATAACTCTTCTTCATCACAGGTGTTGAGTTCAAACTTAAAGAATGGCATACATCAGAAATCCCACCAATGGCTAATCCACTCTGGACCTATCCTCTGAGCCCTTCTGTGATCTCGGCCAACCAACCCAAGAAATTGGTCAACTCCAGGCTCTACTAGGAACATCCTTTCACCTAACTGCTTTTTTGACCAACAGCAACTGAAGAATAACACATGAAAAATTCTGCCAAATTTAAAACAACCCTGTATATATTGCAAATGTTGATGAATACATGCTATTGAAAATTTTAATCTTTCTTTGTTCCTTTCCTTTGCGACCAAACACTCATTATAACAAATGGTGACAGTAGTGTGCAGCAAGGGAAATGAATTTAATAATTAGTGTCAACAACATGCAGTGATTAGTTAACTAACAAAATGAATTTTCCAACAACGGAAAAAAAACTACAACACCTCATCAGATGGCTTGTTTGGATGTGACAATTTCTCGAGACCTGTCTACACAAACAAATCCAAACTAATTCATTCTTCACACTATACACGAACTCAATAGGATCAGCAAACCATTTATCTGCACCAAAGAGACAATAAAGCCATAAAAAAAAACATGTCTTTTCACTAACTATCAGTTCATTCCTGACTTTGTTGAACTCACCACTATCTCAGATTGAGATCTGGGGGAGCTGTTATACTCCACCGAAATTAGAGATCTCCTTCTGATTCACACTACATGTTGGCTGAATGTGGGCACCAAGAAAACAAAACACAATAAATAAAAAAGTTGTTTTCTTCACATGGCTTCTGAGCATTACATTCAGTTCACAAAACAAATCCATGCAGTAAAAAATACAATAGCCAATCACGGCCATTCCTGCTGGAAAAAAAATGTTCCTGAGGACATAGTTTTAATGTAAGGTCATGAAGGGGAAATGTTCAAACAACAGATTAAATGATCTGACACAAAATAATATTCAAAAATGTTTAAGACAAAGGTAAGCAAGTTCATTGCTCACCAACAGGATATATGGTTTGCATACGTTCAAAAGTAGATAAAGATAGTTTGAATCATTTAGTTTTCTTGGATGGTTGAGATAAAATTCTTTGCAGTGCCATGTGGTGGTTGATGTGTAATTTTACACTATGTGAGTACTTGAACACTGGTTGTAAGGAACTGAAACAAAACCTTTCACATAACTTTAGACACTCTCCTCATTTTGTATCAGAATTTTGCATAAGCTACTTTCTTTCCTTCTTCTTGGCTCAGCAACCAATTTCTGTGAAATCAAGGTTTTCATGGGTTCAAAAACACTTTCACATAAGCTCACAAATTTCTTTCCTTTTTCTTCTTGGCTCACCAGTTAATTTCTGTGAAAGATAAAATCTCACAAAGGCTCACAAATTTCTTTCCTTCTTCCTCATTTCTCCAAATTTGAAGGGAATGGGTAAAGTGAATTATTATTATTTCACACTCATACCCATAAATATCATTCTCCCAGACAAATATCTATGTAAGTCAACAAAGCACACAGTTGCTTAGAGATTTCAGAGTTGTGCCAGGAGTCTACACAGAAGACCTGAGAATTTTGTTGTGAGACATCTTTGTCTCTCTCTATTCTCTCCTTCAGCTAAAAGAAATCCCAGCACACAGACACAGGACTACATTTTTTCCCTGGAATTTCACTAGTGTAAAGCAAAATAGAATGATTGTATAAAAATTGTACATACTTTTACCAGGTTCTGAAGCCATGAGATAAATGATAGACAAGGTATTTTCTTTGTTGTATTAAAATCCAGACCCAATTTCTCTTTCAAATCAAGTAAAAGCAATAAACTCAGAGTGACTTGACTTATTAAAAATGGTTGGTTTGTTTTTAATTCTTTTTTTTCCCAGAAAAAGATTCTACAATGTTTTGTGATAAAACATGCACAAGTTGTGTATGCAAAGATAAGATGCATATGGCCTAAAAAAACTGAAATCTTATCTCTTTTAAAACATAAGAGGCACAATGATGTTCTCATTTCAACAATTTATTTTTATCATCTGTTTAATTAACCAACTTTATCAAATAAACAGTCTATGAAAATGCTGGACAGTATGTTCAAAATTATTCAGTCTTGACTCTTCCAGTCACATTCGCCACGCAGTCCTAAAAAACAAAATGTACCATTTTCTACTGGCCTATTATGTGAGGATGTGCTGAAAAGTTCATAGGCTGACTATGAAGAAGTGATGCTAGAGCTGTGAAATCTTGCAGGCTTTAATTTCAATTCTTCTTATTAAAAACTGCATTGTTTCTTTCCCGGTAAACCAGACATCTGATTGTTCAAAGAAGATTTCTAAAGTAACTAGTAGCAACTTCTCATAAAAATTGACAAAATTTGGTATCATTGTGTTATCAAATATCTACAGAAAAAGACTTTAGCTCCCAAGGTCATTACATTGACATGGTTGCCACATTAGGGGATGACATTCCAGCTTTATCAACATTGCAAAAGTGGTCAG